AATAAAATAGAAACCAAGTAAATGAACTCTGGGTTTTCACTTAAGAACCTGTGATGGACCACTTTATATCATTTACCATCAATGATATACAACATAACAGCAGCCATTAGTACAATGGGTGAGGGAAAGCTGAAATCAGGGGCACAGTACTAACCAAAAGTGTGTAATTCTTTGAGGATTCCTGAGAATGTGCTCTTTAGCCAAGGAAAAATTATGCATTTAACATTGTTACTTCATTCCTCCTTGAATTGATTGATTCTGTTAAACTACAGTAAAGCAAAAGATGCAACACGTGTCAAACTTTATAGATTGTATTCCTGTGTATATGAGGCAAACTGTCTCTGATATGTTAAATATGTAGTCCCCCACAAACTGATTTTATATCAAAATAAGCAATATTTGGTTTTGAAAATTGTGTCAAACTCATAAGAGATCCAACTGAAGTGACAACTTCAGAAGCCTCTGCATTTCAGCAACAAGAGCTTGGGGTTTTCAGAATCAGCAGTGAGCTCCTGCTGATGTATTCAGAAGGGAAAATTGGATTATTTTCTTGGAGAACTGAGGCCTTACTTGATATTCCAAATTCAGAATGTGATATCTTCACAACATCCTACAAGATGGTTTAAAGCAGAATTAGTATCTGGTCTGTGTTAAGGAAGAAAAATCAGAGCTAATAAAAGGCCAGAGATTTGATTTAGATTTAGACTGATGCAAATAGGCACCAATTAGAGCTTAGTGGCACAGGAGGATAGAAAAACCATGAAGCACTCAAAGAACGCCTTAGTTCTGTTGAAATGAGCAAAAAAGCTATTTTGGGCACCAGAAGTGATAATTTATTTTATAGCTGTGTTGGCATGGGTGGGCCAGAGCTGCATCTTAACCTTTTACCCTCAGGTTATCTTTGAATATTTCTCCTTGCATTGATTTTTAGTTTTGTGATTAGTCAATAATCTCTGTAAGATTTCCCTTGTGTTACTCAGTGCTTCGTGTTAATGTGTGCCTTTCATTGCCCATGAGGTGGAACCAAGGCTGAGAGGGAGAAGAAATATTAGCTGCAAATTTTTTATGAGAAAAATAGGTGATATGTAAACTGCTGTGCCCATGAAGGCATCTCTGTGAAATCTGGGGTTGGTTTTTACCTTTTTGTGCCACACCTGTCATCCAAAAGCTCCTGTATCTGTAAAGTAAGGATGTGTTTGTTTTATCTCTGGAGTGCTGGAGGTGCCTTTTTATATATATTTTATACTTTACTATCCATGAAAGAATGTTTTCAGGATCTGTAGGATCCAGTGCCAGCAGGATCTGTAGCTGCAGTGATTAAACCTCAGCTTCTCTCTTTCCTTTTTTTTCAGAGTGGCTAAAATATATATGGTGCCACATGGATTAAAGGCTGTCCAGAGAGGCTCATTAGGCTTAATGTGTCAAATGATTCATCATCAAAAGCAGAGCAAGTCCTTTATAAATGGCTCAAAATAGATTTTTGGAATTGATAGGACTCAAAATATTTGAGTCAAAGAGGATTATTTTGCTAGGTTTTCTGGAGCAGACAATGGCTCCTTTGTGAAGGCTGCTTAGGCTTTGGGAATTGCTTATTGTGGTCTCTGTGATCAGAGGAAGAAAAGGCTGAATTTTTGGGAAATAGTGATCTCATCAGTGTCATTGTTGTAAAGAATAAAGGTGGACATAAATGATATGAAGTCATGATTCTTCAGAGTTTGTCTACGTGAGCTCAAGATCTGACCCAAAATAATTGCTAGAAGCAAGTGAGCTGTCTTGTATTTGACCTTCCCACAGAAATATCCCCAGGAGTGAAAGACTTTGCATTTAGGAATCATTTCAAAGTTCAGGGATCTCATAGAAATATACAGGTCCCAGCGCAGTCTCTTTTCCCTCTCTGTTTTTTAAATTTTTTTTTTAAAATTTTTAATTACTATGTTTAACCGTAAAAGTGTCATGGGGAATGGCTCTTTGGGGAGAGGTTTAACAGTAATAAAAGTGAAGATTTATGTTGCTTACGGTTATTTGCCTTGATACATGGAAGTCTTTCTGCCTTTTTTTTTTTTTTTCTGGTTGTTTTTCTATATATATATATATATATATATATTTTTTTTTACTAATAATGGCAAAAAAACTGTAAAGAAATGTTTGTCCTGGCAGCAGAGCAGTTTTGCTTCTGTTGCTGCCTACCTGAGTGTGAGTGACTATCCTCAGTCCTGTTGCATCTTTAAATGCTCAAGCTTTGCCATTCCTGGACTGTGGAATGGCAGCCCACCAAATGAACTCTCCATCTGGAGGTGAGCTTATGGCTTGGATTTTGCTCTTTCTCACTTGTTGGTCTTTGAGGTCTTGGTTGGGATTTTGCAAGTCACTGCAAAGCAGAGGGTTTGTACCACACTGCTTTTTTTGATGAGAGTATCTAGCCATTGCAACATTTACTATGAGAATCTTTGGGAAAGTTGCAATTCCCAAAACTTTGCTGAGGGCTTTATTAGTTTGTGTTGCCCTAAGGCTGGCGATCATAAGTGCTGCAGGCTTAGAAACACTCAGAGAAACCAGAATGTTTCCCCATTTTGGGGGGAAAAGAGGGACTCTGCCTTAGCATCAGTTCTTCAATACATGGGATACTCTGCTCTCCTTCTTACAGACTCTTTAAGTTCAGTTTCTGAAGGTTTCCTAGGTAAGGGAGTAGTAATTTTCCTAGGTAAGGGAGTAAACCAAAGGAGGTTTGGAATTAGTGCTGTGAAAAAGTCTCTTGGGCTGCTGAAGAGGGCCGAGGTGCTTTGGCACGAGCTCTGTGCCTGCAAACCGTGCCTCTGGGTTTGGTTTCCTCACTGCTGCTGGCCAGGGGGATTTGCAGCCCTACCAAGACAGCAAAGAGCATGGGAATGCAGAGATACAGCAGCATGTTCCCCCACAAAGGCTTTGAACCCTGCAACATGCACTTGGTTAGGATACGGTGCCCTGGCTCTGGCAGGACATGAACGCGCTCACTTTCTGAGTAATTTGCCCTAAACTCTTGGGGCCACTTGGACAAACAACAGAAATATTGTTGAAAGGCTCTGGCAGAAAGCTTCTCCATTGCTCTCCCTCTGATGGCTGCACAGATCGTGGCTTTCCACAAGCAGCATTTCCCAGGAATGCCTGTTACTCAAGTTTTCCACCCTTTCCCCTGGAGTGGCGCCTTGTGTTTTCCAGTAGGTTATTTGCATATTAAATAGCTTGCTCTATCCAGGGATTTGTAGTTCCAGTTTATGTTGGAACCTTGGGTAGACGAACTTTGGTCAAGTCAAGCATTTGGTGGGAGTCCTTCTTCCATCCTTTTATTTTGATAACTAAATTAAGAAGTTCTGGCAGTGTGTCCACGCCTTATTACTGCCACAGGGTAATGCTTTGGAAGAGCTGAAGGAACTTGTTACCAGGTGATTATGGGCAAGTGAGCCTTGCACAAACATTCTGGAACAGTTGCCAAGTGCAGAAAAAAAAATGTCAAAAGGGCAAAGGCAAGGATTTAACTATTCTGTGCATGTGTCTACTTGGAACAGTTGCCAAGTGCTGGCAAAAATGTCAAAAGGGCAAAGGCAAGGATTTAACTATTCTGTGCATGTGTCTATCCAGCATGTATCCATCACTGCACCTGAGGTGGTCCGTCCGGGAGCATCCATCAGCAAGGAAGAATTACAGAGCCCCTTAAAATCTCCTCAGGATAATTAACAAAAAAGAAATCCTCATCAGTAGTGGGGGGTTGGGAGGAGCTGAGTGTCTTGGATCATAACTGGTGGAGGGGAACTAGGTGGGAATCAATGGGATGCCACGAAGAGCTGCCTGCTGATGTGTGCTGCCCTACTGCCAATGGGCTGAAACTCAAAGGGAAAAGATTTGGCTGCTTGTTGCAACTCTTTGAGGATCTCTCTGTTTCTGAGGAATTTGGGGCTTAAATTTCCAAATACCTGCCCCACTCTGCTGGGCTTGGATGTGCAGTGTGCTGTATTCTACGGGACTTTGGTATCCGCAGACACTTTGTCCCCACTGCCTCTGCTACCCCCAGCTGGTCATGTTTGAAAACTGCCAAATAATCCTCAACTACCTTTTCCTTTTTGTTTTGTTTGGGTTTTGGTGGTGTGGTTTGGTTTGGTGTCTTTTTAATTCTGCACTGAGCATCTTCTGGGTAAGAGGTAGATTGCAACATGCAATCCTGAACATTGTTTTTAGCCTAATGGGTGCAACCACGAGCAACCCCAACCTAGGGTGAATGATCTCCTTCTCAGTTTTGGTGGGATTGTTCTTATTTTCCTTTGTTTTGTTGTTTTGGGTTTTTTTGTTTGTTTTGTTTTGTGGGGTTTTTTTCCCCTCAATTTTTAATCATAACTATTCTAACTAAAAGATTAACACCAGCCTTACACCAAATTGACAATAAAAATCCCAAACAAGACCAAACATGACATAGACGAGAGCAAAAGTGATCTAGCCGTAGATATTGTCCTTTCTGGATGCATTTGAGCTCATCTGAAATCATACCCAGGGGACATATCAATCCAAAGCAAGCTCATCACAGTTATTGGCTACATAAACATGAAATATGGTGTGAATCACTGAAATGAAATGCTCGTGAAATCTGTGCTCATCTACTTTGTCTTGGTTTGTAAATATCAAGTAGATGTTGAAAAATAGACTCGAATAAATAATAATTTTGAGTTAGAAACTCAGAAGGCATTAGCAACATTCTGAAATTCAGTGCTTTATGTAAGCCCAGTGAGACCGAGCAGGGCAGGGGAAAAAAATCAAAACATTGAAAGGCACGCAGGCGGGTAACTCAATAACCCGTGTGTGTAGGGCATTCCACCCAGCGGGACTTTAACTTTGCGAGCTGGGCCGGCCGGCTCCGTGCCGGAGAGCCGTCCCCCGGCCCACCCCACGCCACTGACATGCATAGCTGGCCTGGTAGGTGTAAAAATAGCCGGGCAGCGCCTGAATTGGACATGGTCACCGAGCGCTGCCCGCAGTTGCCGGGGTTTCGGGTTCTCCGGGACACGGCACGGCTCGGCTCGGCTCGGGGGGCCCGGGACCAGTGGCCGAGGAGCGGAGCACAGGCGGGATCCTCCTCCCGGCCGGGCACCCCGGCTCGGAGGGAGCAGAAGAGCTGATATGGGCAATGCACCCATTTGCCAGGCTTGTCATTCAGAGAAGGGCTTAAGGACACAAGGGAACATACAGGACTTGGATAAAACTCCTGATTATTATGGATACAACATCGAAGAAAGTAAAGAGCCTGAAGCCCTGGTAAGTTTGGCTGAAGAAAACAGGAATCGCAGGGAAAAATTCAGATGAGGGTTGTGCATGTTGCATTTGCAAAGGATGTCTTTGCTCAGGACCTTACTGGATAGCTTGTCAGTACTGAGGGATCTGCTAAACTTGTCCATACTGAAGCTTTGCTTTGCTGCCCTGACTGTGATTAAAAAGCAGCTGTCGCTGGGCCGTGCAGTGGCTTCAAAGCATTGTCAGCTACCAGAAGGTTGAGGTATTTGAAGAGAGAGCCCCGTGGGTGAAACAAACCCAGGACAAATGGATATTATCCCGTTATCCTGATTTGAACGATGCTAGGAATGATCCTGTATTGATCATTCTCCAAACTTGAACTCAGCAGTTTACTTTTGAGCTGCTGCCTGCCCAGTACGCCCAGCACAAATGGATATTATCCTGTTATCCTGGTTTGAACGACTGCTAGGAATGATCCTGTATTGATCATCCTCCAAACTTGAACTCAGCAGTTTACTTTTGAGCTGCTGCCTGCCCAGTACATGATTTTGTTTCTGTGTGCAATCGAGACAGAGCTGCACAGATCCTAATGCAGATGAGGGTTACAGTGAGTGGGACCAGGCACAGGCAAGGGGTCACACTTACAGAGTAATGTCAGCATTTGTGCAGCAAACCAGAAGAAAATTACTAAGATGTGAATGCTTGCGTGGTATCTATGGCAAATGAAGTGTCTCTTCTCTCTTTTTTTTTTCTTTATTTCTCATTCTGTTTGAGAAAATAATTAAGTGGTTATTTCATTCAAAATTGGCAATGGAAGTATATAGCGTCAAAACTTCCGGCAAAATAGGAAGAGCAGTAAACCTTCAGTGTCAGTGTATCCAAATCTCATGTTCTCCACAACTGATGTGTACTAGAATTGGTCTCAGTCTGACCTGATGCTTTGCACATGCCTCAATTACTGCAGTGCAGCACAGAAGAACAGGTGAGCTGAGTTCCAGTGTTCGTAGGGGAAGAGGAGACCCAAGGCACTCCCAGCAGCAGCTCACAAGGAGTTCTGCACTGTCCTAGAAAACACTTTTGGTGCTGTCTTGGCTTTCTGGCAGCACATTTTTTTGGCTGGATTTTTCTGATCAGTTTTATGTTCTATTTCACTGACAACACAGCTGGACCCGTTCTTCATAGAATCACAAAATGGTTTGGGTTGGAAGGGACCTTAAAGATCATCTAGTTCCCAACTTTCTAAAATAAAACTTTCTTCAAGCTAAAACATGGAAGTAACCTACTTCTTTGAGGATGCAGACAGGTGATTTTTTTTTTTTCCTCCTACCTAGCAGTTTTTTGGCTGAATTAAGAAATAATATCCAGTGTTTGTGATGGGAAACACAGTCGGGGAGGGACAGTGGGATTCCTTGGGCTGTGGGGGAGGATGGGCCTGCCTCCACTGCTGAGGGTGGTTTCACTGGGCATTAGAGGATCTCCCTGAAGCTGTTAGCAAAGGTATGGAAGCCCCTGTGACACAAATAAGCCAAGTGAAACAGCTCTCCCGGCACGTCCAGCCTCTGAGCTGCCCTTCGGCATAAGGTCAGCCCTCAGAGGAGGCAGGAGTGAGCAGCATGTGATCTTCGAGGCTTCTTTTCCTTTTTGTTTTTCTGGATACTTTTCATTCAGCCTACGCAGCTTTTCGTAGCAGGCAGAGATCAGGCACTTTGATAGTCTTTGATGTATTCAATCATAAGATCTTGGCTTTATGTCACCCTGGTAGGGACCGGCCAAGTTTCTTTAGAATGTCTGTCTTGAATCAGGTTTACAGTGCTTGAGGGATTACAAAGGAAAGTTCCTCTATTTCCCTAAGAATGATTGCAGTCTCTTATCATCCTTGTGATTCCATACAAAAAAAAAAGTTAAAAGAAAAAGAGGTGTCTCTAAATTAGAAATGTCAGTAAAGCTTTCTTCTGCAGGGAGAAATTGTATATCTATTTTTTCCCCCTGAACAGGAATATGGTATCCAGCACAGTACCCTGTTAACTGTTATAGATTTCCTCTGCCTTTATGTAACTGCAGCCATGCTCCCTGTCTTGGCTCATTAAAAAGAGTTGCCACATCAAGCTGAATATGATGACTCCAGGAGCCTTGTAGCAGATATGAGGCTCAGAACAATTCAGCTAATATTCAGCCAACTCAGATGGCAAAATTGCTTTGCTAATCTAATATTTTCTAACCTAAGAATTGAATGTAATCTGCCGCTTCAGAACCAGGTATTTCAGACTGCCTGGGACAGACTGCTCTCTGAGTTGCAGCCCAGGATTTTCCTACTGCAGCATTCATGGGAGTTTTTTCCTCCCTGCTCAAGGCAGTGGATTTGGTAAGGTGAATTTGAACATCGTTGTTGCTTTTCTGCAGGTGAAGTTAGGTGAAAGTGCTTCCTCTCTCTGGTGGCCAGAGCTGAATTGTTTAAGGTCTAGGCCTAGGATTACAAGATTGTTCATTTACTGCTTGAGTGTTCCATTGACCTCTCTGTACAAGTAAGAGCTGTGATGAGTCTTGGTGAATTAGCAGCTGTGGTAACAGCATTTGCTGACATCTATTTTGGCCCATCTCAAAGCAGCATGAAATATGTTTTTCTATTTTATGGAACCAGTACATTTGAATCAATGGGAGATCGGTTAATGGTGTTTGGGTGGGTAGAGCAGTTTGACCCTTTAGCATGGATGTTCACACATTTCTTTTATTAGGAAATGTCACTTTGGCCATAGGGAATGAGAAATTGAGAGTGATAGGATTATCTGTCAACAGTCTGTCATAAACTTCTCTTACAGCCTGGATTTTTGTTAAGCCTGGTTATTACCCTGCTAAATAAGGTTTGGAGTGGCATCCTAATTCTTTCTAGAGGTGTTCTAGTATTATTACCTCTATTTAGGAACATCATCAGTAATGGAAAGTTGCCATGGAAAGTTCTACAGTTACCAACACCTCAGCATCTCAATATATGGTATCCAGAGGATCCTAAATATTTTTCCTTCCTTTAATATTAAACAGTTCTCCTAGAGAAAATTTTGGTTTCATATCAGTATTTAAGATAATTCAGTCAAAGTGTGTGTCAGCTAGGAGAACCAAAACTCTTCCTGGGGCTCTCCTGAAGGCATCCGAAATCCTTCCCATTTCAGGATATGACTAAATGATTCTTTGTCTCAAAGTTCAGCAGAAGAAATGTTCCCATTGAACAACAGGATTATACATTCCTACTTTTTAGAGTAATGAAGATATTTCTAGTTTTTAGGATTAATCAAACTAGAAAATCTTTGATTCTCGAAACCCAAATCCTGTGGGGTGCTTTGTTTGTTGTTTTCCAGGGTGATTTGGGATCTTTTTCCTCTTTATTATTTTTTAAATGCAAAGAGTGTTTCCCAGGTACATTTGAGAGTCTGTTTTTTAGACTCATGCTGATGATAATTCAGACACCCACACATTGTTTCTAAGCTGGGATTTATACCAGAAAGTTTCTTTTGGAGAAGATGGATAGCCCAGGGGAAGGACAGGGATTACACATGCCTGAAGTTCAGCAAATACTGATGCACTGTCCCTTGTTAGAACCCTGATAAGTGATGTTGCTCTGTACTGTAAAATCAGCATGGATTAAAATAACATCTGTCATTTCGAGTACTGCCTTTGGAAGGGGCATGCAGCTGGGGAAAATACTTTGATCACATTCTTTTCCATAGAAAACTATGCAGTTTTGCCTCAGTTCTCACAAATCCTTCATTGACACAGTACAGTCAGCAGCCAGGCCAGTATGGCAAGTTAATGAACGGAGTGGGAGGACTCCTACAGATGTCTGAGGCAGCTAAGGATCCTAAAAGGTTTATAGAAGGCATTTGCTTCTTGGCTCAAGGAAGGGGTGATTTTACATTAGTTTTCTTTTCCTCTTCTGTTGCTACTGTATTTGCCAAAGCTGGCCCAAATTCAGGAACAGGGTTAAGTGTGTATTTAAACCCTCCCTTTAGCAAATAACTTAAATCTGTTTAGTTTGAGGGCAATTAGACTTAAAGATGTAGTAAAAATTAAGCATAGTTTAAAGTGGTTTTCCATAATATCCTTTTATTCTTCTCCTGGTTAAAAACAAAGCCAAACTGATCAGGCATTTGTGCATTCCAGCAGAGAGAAAAGAATGGCTGGATGGTGTCCTGCAAGTTCTGGAATTTCACAGAGTTGGCAAAAGAGTCAAAGGTGTCGAAATATAACAAGCAGTTTAAAATTAAAGTAATTCCCTATGAATAATTGAGATTTTTCCTATCAATAACAAGAGATGGAATAGCTGAAGCCTGGCTTTTCTACTAGTAAAAATTAGAAGTGTCTATCAGCACTACTAATTGTTCAGTTGTGCCTGGAGTCTGTTTGGAGCAGGAACTGGTGTTCAGGTAAGGTTGTTACCTGGGCAGTTTCCTCCTCCTTATGTTGCTCAACAATATGTTTGTTGGGATCACATAGCATTAACAAAAAATGTCTTAAATTTCAAATGCAGCTTTCTGAGAACAGTCTCATGAAAAGATATGAAACTGCCACAGAACTGTTTTATGCAAATCTTGCAATCACCGGAAGTTGATGAATATATGTTGGGCTTGTAATACATTTTTTATTTATAATGTGCATAAATCATAAATCACTTAACCTAGTTTATTTTCTGAGCTTCTTTCTTTGCCATAAATCTTTCCATCTCCAGTCATACCAATGAAAGTAATTTCTTGAGGACACTCTAAATCTTGAATCGTGCTGCACGCAGTATCTCCTTTGGGTTGCAGCCTCTTTGTCTGACACAAGAAAGCTTTTACCAAGATGTATAATAAATGGAAACAGTATTGCCCTTCCCACCTGCTCTGGCAATGCGTGATTTGGGCTCCCACACATCCCTTAGCAGAGCTAATGAGAGAATATTCATTCCCAGGAACGCAGCATATACTGGGAGGAATCTGGCCAATGCTATCCCAGGTTTCTGGGTCAGGGAATAATTTTCTGTGTTTGAAAATGTT